AATCAACCTGAGAGCGGACTCTGCCCACCCTCTCCTCAGAATAAGCTTTATCCATCCCTGTTCTATTCCACCGAGAGTTAAAACGTTTCACGACATCCCAGACGTACGTCGGGCTGGTGTCTTTGCGCAAACCAGCGCAGAACTTTCGAAAACTTTCCTGTTTAGCATGCCGAAGGCCTTTCCTAGTGGATGCAACCTGCCGTTTGTACGACAGAAAGTCTTCACGAAGCCCAGTAACTTTAAACTTGGCGAGTGCAGCCCTGCGAAGGCGAACAAGCTTGTCGCACTCTGAGGACCACCACAGACAAGGAGGACGAGTGACCTGTGGTCCACTCCCGGGAGGGTGGTCTCTCCTCGGAGTAGAAGTTTCGAGAGAGTCCACCACCAGTGCCACGAAAGTGTTGTACATCACCTCCACTTCGCTCTCAGGAAAGGAACAAGGAAGACTCTTCATTCTGTCACTTACGGCTCGCTGAAACGCAGGCCAGTCAGTACGTAACGAGTGAAGTCTGGCAGACCGTCGAACCGGCAAAGAGGTGTCTGGACGCAGGTTAGAGCTAACCATCACCGGGTAGTGATCGCTTCCCCAGGAATCACCCCCCACCCCCCAGGAAAGGCGCAGGGCAAGTGAGCTGCTAACGACAGTCAGATCAAGCACAGACGAAGATCGATAAGAATCGCTGAGATAGGTTGGAGATCCATCATTGAGTAACAGAAAATCAGAGTCTTCCACCGCATCCCACAGGGGACCCCCAGAGGGGCAAGTCGTCCGTGAGCCCCATCCCACATGGTGAGAGTTAATATCACCCCCAAAAATAACCTTACTACCCCCAAACTGACCGAAGAACCGGAGCCAACTACTTGTCGGCACAACGCCCGCGTCCGGGGGACGATAGCACGCCACCAGAACCAAGGGTTCCCCACTTACATACACCTCGACGGCACACACCTCTAACTTACCTGCACAGTCGTACAGATTCGATAATTGTCGGTACTTAATTGAGTGGTTGACCAAGATCATCACTCCTCCTCCCGTACGCCCAACGCGATCGTTCCGCACCGCATCGAATCCNCTTACAATAAAAGAGTTGGCTGGAGTAAGCCACGTCTCTGAAACAAGTATAAAGTTATAGAACATGCAATGTCGAGCAAGTTCAGTAAAGCGCGGTAAAATCGATTTTGCGTTCCAGTGGACTAAACCAAAAGGATCGCAACGAGATTTTGACACATTCATTGTGAAATAGCTTATTTTTTAACAACTTTTGAATGTAAATTTATCGTATTACCAATTCGTTGAAGCAAAGTATCTATATCGTCCATCCGCATGATTTTATCGACCAATTGACGCACACGAGTTTTGACTTCTTCTCCGCAGAAATTAGCCGCAGGCGGCCAGCTCCATGCAGATGACCCGATCGAGGTAGACGCCACCGGCGAGTTAACCATAGAGATTCCCCCTCGGGAAGGAAGGGGGGGAAAGTTTTTCAAGGTCTTATCTGGCGCAGGACCCGCTCCTCTCTCCGCGTTGATCACCAAGCGTTTTGCCTCAAAGTAAGGAAGGTTGTCGTACGCCATCACTCTCGTCACCTCCGCATGCCGCTTGTAGATAGGGCATGTACGGTCGAGCAAGCTGTGAGCACCGGTGCAGTTTATACAGGAAGCTGGAGCCTTGCAAGGAGTGTCCTTTGAGTTCCTATGAGCTCCACCACAAACCAGGCACTTCGTGTTTCCNTCGCAATACTTGCTGATATGGCCAAAATGGCCACAATTGAAGCACATCCGGACTGCGGGAACATAAGGCTGAACTGGGTTTACCGTTTTTAAAATGACGATCGACTCTGGAAGTGCTTCTCCTGCCAGCTCCAAACAAACAGTTTCTGATTCCATCCACTCCTTTGAAGATCTGTCACGGCGCTTAAGACGGAATATTTTGAGAACCATAATGTTGCTGTTTTCATCCTCGATTGCCTGTTTGANTTCTTCTAAGGGCATGTCGAGTGGAATCTCTCTCAAAATCACTTTTCTGCTAAGCTTATAGCCAGGGATGTACGTTGACATACCCGCTTCTTTCACATACTTATTGGTGAGTGCGTTGTTGGCTGCCACCTTCGAGGGGAAAACCACCTTCCATGTATTACGAGAGTATCTGTGGATGCTCAGAAATTTCAGATTAGACGTGGATAATTTTCTGGAGACAGATATCAGTGGCATGGANCGGGATTTAACCCCGGAAGCTGTTGGAACCCGGAGGTGAATCACATATGGGGCTTGAGTAAAAGCTCCGTACTTCTGCGAAGTCTCCCTGTCAGACACGACATTTTTACTTACAGTTGGCTGGGAGATTTCCTGACGTTTACTCTCACCTTGCTTAGCACCAGACGGAGAAGCGTTGGGCAAAGGTGACGAGACCTCAATATCGCTTATTTCCGCAGCTGAAGAAACATCCGTATGAACCAGCAAGGGCCTTTCGGGACGGAGTCCCTTCCTTG